GTCACGATGTTATATATAACACTTTCCTGTCCTCTAAAATGTTCAAGTAGCATTGTCACGGTCGTGTTTGTGATAACGTTTTCAGAGTTGATAGGCATCTCGTATCTCAGTGATCGGATTTATAGGGATCTTTTTATAATTCATCTCACGTGAACATGAGTTAATTAAGTCGTGATGATTAGACATTAATGATTTCTTGTGATTGGATAGCTTAACTACTAATTACTTCGAAATATCAAAAAATATACGCGCGTTTACATAATTACCTTACCAGCTATTGTGAACGTTGAGAACTTGAGAATTGATAGAGCTCTACTTAAAGATTTTTTTACTAGATAAAAACCATTAAGCTTAGTTTTACTAACCGCTATTCCACCTAGAACCTCATGGTATCAAGTTTGTTCTAGTATTTTTTTGGCGTCACTTTGCAGGCAGCAATGTCAAATGAAATACTACTTATTCCAACTATCAAACATTTACAGTACCTCCTATACAACGTAAATATGCTATCTAGGTCACTGAAATCGCCAATACAGATAAAATGTATGTCTACTATACTTTATACTTATGGCTTCTGCAGACGAGGGAGTTTTATTCGCGGACTTTTTTGTCTGCTAAAATAGATCGCTTCCAACTGCATCGAGTCCCACTTAGAAAAAGTCCCCTGAACAACCGAGAGGCCGGAGTGGACAAAAGTACGCAGAAGTCCCGAAAAAAAAATATGTGACCAGGCGCAGCCGCAGGCAGCAACACACTCAAACATGCTCTGCCATAGATTACTTGCTCAGTGGCTCTGCCGCCGCGGCGCGGCACAGTGGTCCGGATTTTGAATATAGTGGTCTTAGGACCCAAGGTTAATATTTCGCGCTGAAAAAATTCATGCGGACAGATAAGTGAACGCTTATCAACTTTTGCTCTAGCAGTTTTCATGTGATCGTATATTTTCGCGAAAAAAAAATATTTAAGAAAAAAATGTATGGAGCAAAACTGAAATATTTTTTTTTCTCGAAATGTTTAAAAGTGTTAGCAATGAAACCATTTGTAAATTATTGTATTACATATATTTATTAATTTCACCATCAAATCTTTTGCATGCACTTGCAGCCTTGGCCGAAATAGGCATCAGAAGTTTAAATTTTTTAATTCTAACTATTTGTGTCATTTAAAGGTTTTTAATCATTTATAGTCACATAATTTTCGTATATTTTCAATATTATAAACTTTAAGATGCATTATTTCCTAAATTAAAATGATTTCGAAAAATAGATACAAATTGTTTTCATATTTTACTTCTTAGTGGTTATCGCTGTTACCCAAAGCGCAGTTAGTGACCGAATGACGTATTGGCTGCTAATTTCCCCCTCCCATTGCCTAATATTGCTATCTCTTTCATTTTCTACTAATACCTGTAAATTTTTACCTGAAGAAAACTACCTACTTAATCGTGGCTGGATTTGGTACTTACCTGGACATTTACGTGTTTCTACGAAAAGGGGACCTCAAGGACTACAAACGACTGCATCAAGCAATTTTGGACTGCATTTTGCTTGATATTTCGCAAGAAGATTCTGAAAAATTTTTAAATTTTGCAAGATCTCTCACTGTCAACTTAAATCGTAGATTGACCGAAGCACACAGGGTGCAAAAAACATTCATGAAAAAGCATATGAGCTGGTTAGAAACAAGAATTAAGTGGCCTGAATGCGAATCCGTGAATCTCTCCGAAATTTTTGAAGAGGCCGAAAATTTCGATCATCGTTCCACAGAAGAAGAAGCAGCTGTTTTACCCTTTGCATCTACTTCGAAGGCGACTATTGATATGAGCACTTGTACAGACATCGTATCAAGAAAGCCACTTGAAGACCTAAGAAACAAGCAGAAGAAAAGGCGATCGGGTACATTACTTGACTATCCGGAAGAGGAACTGACTTTTGCTTTTATCACCAAACTAAAGTCTAATGGAAAAGAAGTTCTTGCTCGCATCATCGATCATCTTATGAAGAAGCCTGAAAAGGTTGGAGTTGTGGAATCATTTTTATTTATGAACGAAAAGAAAGAGACTATGCAGGAAGATCAAGTTTTGGCCCTAACTTCTTCATTGGATCTTTCAAAGTGGAAGTACCTCACTTTACGGTCTGCATTGTCACAACAGTTGACGCTCCCGTCTTACCACAAGTTGTTAGAAGCTAAGAAAAGGTGTTATCCAGATGCCAGAGATATAATAATATCAGAAGATGGAGCGAAGGTGAAACTACAAGCACTTTTAGATGTCACAACGCGAAGGATTTTGCAAGTGTTGGGTGATGATTTAAATATTTCCAGTGGAAGCTTGAAGCTGACCAGTAAATGGGGATTTGATGGTTCTTCAGCACAGAGCAACTACAAGCAAAGAAGTGAAATGGCAGAATTCGACGACTCCTTTGTGTTCATGACCAGCCTCGTTCCCCTGAAGCTAGAGGCCGAAAATATTGTTATTTGGGATAATCCAAAGCCATCTTCAACGTTTTATTGCAGACCTATTAAATTTCAGTTTGCGAAGGAAACAACTGACTTTGTTAAGCAAGAACAAGCCGCAATGGAGGAAGAAATACAAAATTTGACTGTTTCAAGTTGCGGAAACTTGGAAGTTACTCATGAGCTACACATGACAATGATTGATAGGAAAGTGACGACAATAATTACAAACACTCCCTCTGCAGCTACTTGCAATATTTGTCTTGCAAAACCAAGCGAAATGAATAATCTTTCTCAAATCTTTTCAAGACCTGTGCGGGAAGATGTATATCAATATGGATTGTCAACACTCCATATGTGGATTCGAAGCATGGAGTGTCTTTTACACATTTCGTATAATTTAGATTTTGAAATGTGGAGTGCAAGAGGCGAAACCAAGAACCTTAAGAAGTTTCGAAAGAACATGGTGCAATCGGAGTTCAAACAACAGATGGGACTTTTGATTGATCTTGTGAAGCAAGGCTTTGGAACTACAAATGATGGGAACACGGCAAGAAGATTTTTCCGAGAATACGAAAAGACAGCTCAAATAACGAAGATTGATGTTGATTTGATAAAACACTTCGCAGTCATATTGCAAGTGTTATCTTCTGGAAAGGCTGTCAATATCGATCGATTCCGTGGATACTGCAAGGAGACTGCTGAACTCTTTGTACATCACTACCCTTGGTACAACATGCCTTCCAGCGTACACAAAATGCTGATACATGGCGCAGACATATGCAAACATTTTTCTTGTCTTCCTATAGGAATTTTGTCAGAAAAAGCAGCAGAAGCAATAAATAAGGACTTCCGAAATACCAGAGAGCGCCACACGAGAAAAACAGGAAGATTTCAAAATAATGAAGATATTATACACAATTTTTTGATATCTTCGGATCCATATATATCTCATCTGAAACCTAAATACGCCAATTTTAAATCTTCAAGTATGTTTCCAGAAGCGTTGCAGTTATTAATAACAGAAGAAATAATTAGAAGTTGAAGATGAAGAAATAGAAGCTCCACAAAATGTGCCAGATCCTTTGGAATGATTTTTAAGTTTTCTTATATTAATTTATTACTTTGTATTATTTTGTATGTTTAGTTAACTTGTACCATTTTATTATATTTTTATTATTCTTGTTTAAGTGTACTAATTCATATTTTTTGAAATTAAAAGTATAAACCACCTTCGATTATTACATTCTATTGTAAGAATTATGCAATAAACAATTTTTAATAATTATTTTATTTTGTAATTTGATGTCTGTGTTGATATAGACAATTATATATTAGTATTGTACTTTTCCAAAACCACTTAACAGACTAAAAAAGTATTGATTCCATGTATTTTTTTATATATAATATATTTTAAGTTAATCTGTTCATAAACACCAAAGCTGCAAGTGCATGCAAAAGATTTGTTGGTGAAATTAATAAATAAATGTAAAACAATAATTTACAAATGATTTCATTGCTAACACTTTTAAACATTTCGAGAAAAAAAAATATTTCAGTTTTGCTCCATACATTTTTTTCTTAATTATTTTTTTTTCGCGAAAATATACGATTACATGGAAATTGCTAGAACAAAAGTTGATGAGCGTTCACTTATCTGTCCGCATGAATTTTTTCAGCGCGAAATATTAACCTTGGTTCCTAAGACCACTATATTCAAAATCCGGACCACTGTGCGCGGGCGCAAATCGCGCCCTGAGTTGTGCTTTTGCGTTTAACATACAGTTTTATATTCAACGCGAGTTTCGGTCCAATGATAGTTAAATGTTAACGACTAGTTTTTGTGTGTTTTTTTTATATCTTGGCGATCTTGTTATTCTATATCTTGACGAGATTTCGAAGAGTAAAAAACACGAAAACTAGTCATTAACATTATACTATCATTGATTTTTTTAATAGGAAGAAGATTGATTTCTTAACGGCATTCGATATCGATCGTGTACCCACAGAAATGGTTTAGTAGTTACGAAAAAATCAAAAAGTTCTAATGAGCAGTCAATCACCAGTCTATTAATTCTCTTACTGCTGGGGTGAAGTGGAAGTACTTTTCCTATGAAATATGTATAAAGGACCTGATTGGTGGGGTGTTTGCTGCAGATGCTGTTGAGACCAATGGCTTAATCTGCTTTTTGAATCACAAAAGGGTAGGAAATAATGGAATAATAAATTTTCGCCCATATTATGTTTGGCCATTGCGTAAGTTAATTAATTTTCGCAATCGCCGATGAAACGCGCTATTGAGTTCCACCATTTTTTTTAACAAAAAATGATAATTCGGACTCATCCTATGGAGGGTGAAGACTAATTTACAAAGCCACTTTTATACCCACGAGTTAGAAACTATTGCGTAACTATCGAAGTATAACGACTACTGGAGATATTATAAACTAATTTACGATTTAAACAAATTTAGAACAGCGTTTAGGTTTAATATATGGTAAGCACCAGCGTGATGTTATATTTAATTATCTCCTCTGTTGTTTCAGATGCTGTTCTAACGCTATAGTCCCGAATCGGGCGGTTGCGTTAGCGCTAGCAAAATGTCCTATGTTCGATGCTTCGTCGTTACTTTGCCGGGAGTACCATGAAGTCACCGGCAGTATTCTCTGCCCTAATGTTATTCGTGGTATCGATCATATGCGAGACCCCCGGTTAAATAAGGTAATTTAAAAATAAGACATCATTTAACCTGATAGTCTAGTGTACATTCATGACTAATTTGTGAATTAAGTATCTAAAAGTTACTGTGATGACATCAAATTTCTCTCAATGATAAATTGCTGTACAAAATATTTGTTCATAATTCACTATTTAGGATTTTTACGATGACCACTTATAGAAGGGATTTTACCGTAAGCAATTTTCCGCTGCCAATTTTCCTTAGAATTATTTTCCTACCCAGTAGTTTAGAAACTATTGCGTAACCATCGAAGTATAACGACTATTATCCTCGTTTTAAACGTAAACAGAAAATACTGCTTACTACCAATCTATTAAACTAAAAGGCTATTTAAAAAAAATGGATCTACTGTCTCTATGAGAAGAAAATGCATATTTCCAAGCTTCAAGGTCGTTTTTTTATGTTTAATAGGCAAGGCGTTTGACCAAAATCTTGCCTGATGGAAAGCGATAATGAGGCCTAGGATGGTACACGCCTGCCTAGAAGATGCCTGTTCACTCTGGCCTTGAAGATGTCCAGATTATAAAATAAATGAATTTAAAATAAATTTGCTTGAACCATAGTCTTTGTTGGTGTTTTAGGGCCTCGCCTTCACGTTAGAAGAGCGTCAAGCCCTAGGACTCCACGGCCTCCTGGCTGCCACGTTTAAAACACAAGAGGAACAACTTTATATCTGCCGGATATCAGTGGACCGTTATGAAGAAAATCTCAATAAATATCTCTACCTCGTCGAGTTACAGGTGACTAGACATCGAGGAGGTAACACACTATGTGATTCCCTTGTTTGCTAATTAATTTAGGGGTTGGGGAATTTTATGCCACCAATTTATATTTATATTACAAACGATATAATTTTATAGGCATTTAATTAGTTTTAATCCAAAGTTAAGTCCAAATGTCATATGTTTTTCTAATAACGTGGTTGTTGGTGGAGAGCCTTGTACAGGTAATTGGTTGAACTCGACTGTCAGTTATCCCTATTATAGTGCAAGGTTATAACGTAAAAGTGACACAGATGAATTGTTATGTTATTACTTTGGAATGGGGATAATAATATGGCTTGGGTTTGGTAATTTGGCATTTTTCTAATTTTATTAACAATTAATAATATCCAAAGCTTTTTCAAAAAATCAAAAACTGAATAGTGAATGAATCGTTTAAGGATTTAAATTTCTTGGAGCAGGGGAGACTATTTAGAAATTTTAAAATCACATCGTGGTCATATTCTAAATTGACATTTAAGCCTTAGGTAACCATTTAGGGCGACTCGTCATTATCACTTTTACTGAACCTGAATATTTTTTTATATATATTATTTCATTGTATTTATTGGTCCCGATTTCATTAGTAAACTCATTTTTATAATGAAATCATTATATTTAGACTTTTTGTCCACCACCAAGATCCTCTTTATCAGCATACTAAAATTCATCAAACTCGGTTTTAACTATTTAAGCGTGAAAACCTAGCAGACAGGCCAGTTACTTTCGTACTTCTAAATATGAATAGTATAAACCTTTATATCGTTAGTACTGTGTTTCTCAAGGTGACCGATTTAGTTTACTGTTTACATTGAAATTTGTATGAATATTCTTTTCTATTAAATTTGCATCATTGCAGGATAGAAACGAGAAATTGTTCTTTAGACTTCTGGCGGAAAATGTTGAGAAGTATCTGCCAATTGTGTACACACCAACAGTGGGATTGGCTTGCCAAAAATTTGGTCTCATCTACAGGAGGCCTAGGGGTCTTTTTATCACTATCAATGACAAAGGACATATATTTGAAATTCTCAAAAATTGGTAAGACTTGTATGTTTTTGTACTAAACTATGAATAGAATCCTCGTCTCGCTAGAACTAATTTTGAAATTGATAAAAAAGAAGTGTGTAAAGACACTTCTTTTTTTATCTCGACTTAAAGGTAAAAGACATTACTATCTCTATGTTAAAAGTTAATTTTCTAACATGAATTCCATTCCGATTTTAATTTAAATAGTCCACAAATAAAGACGTATAAACTTCCATCTATCGACCCACCTAGCATTTTAAGTTTTCATGATCCTTAGCTAGAAATGAATGTAACATTACCTAAAAAGCAAGTTTGGTCTGCAATAATCTTGAATGCGTTATTGGTGTCGATTTTGACATGATTATCTAAATCTTTACTTAAATTTGACAGCAGTGTATCCTTGTCATTCTCTATACAGAATGAAAAAGAGAGGCTGATGTTAAAATTAGTTTTAAGTTTAGAGAATCATGCCAGAATTGACACGAACGTATGCGTAAGTCGGTTAGGTTTGGACTGAAGGCATACACACCCACACCCGCGTAAGAAGAAAATATTCAAGTTGCTGTTTTTTTTAGGCCAGAACCTGATGTTCGCGCTATTGTGTTCACTGACGGCGAGCGAATTCTTGGCTTGGGTGACTTGGGCGCATACGGAATGGGTATTCCCGTAGGCAAGCTTTCCTTGTATACCGCGTTGGCAGGTATCAAACCCCACCAATGTTTACCTATTACATTGGACGTTGGTACGAACAATCAGGTGAGAGCGATTATTGTTGTTTGAAAAAATTAGATACTTACCTACTGATGCGTGATATTGGGCTGAGCAGAATAGTAAACAGATAATATTTACCTATTAATATTGAATGAATAATAGAGTCGTTTATGTTAAAAGTTTTTGTAAACCGTTCGACGCTTCAAATGCCTGTTGACCTATTTGCGTGACGCCAAAGAAATGTTTGGTCCAGAGAAGCACGAATTCTTGACAGCTCCGCAACGTATCGTCATCGTCATTTTTTTATAGAAAAAGGTAGTTTGTTTTAACGTCCGATACTGCGCTGTTTAGTTTTCATAGAATCAAAGTTTTTATGAAAATGAAACCATGTGATACGTTACGGAACTATCCAAAATTTGTGGCATACTGAGGCCCCTCAGTATGCTAACATACCCAGTATGCTAATTGATTTATATTATATCAGTATTATAAATTTAAATATTTCTTAATATATCAATAGATAGCTTAATTATTCAACGAGTTCTATATCCTGATAGTTAGTGAAAATGGAAATCTTTAGAGGAGGCTTATGTCGAAAGACTAGCGGCAAACATAATGACGCAAATGCTGATAATTAAGTATAAAATTAGAATAAAGATTAAGAAAATCTTTTATAAGTTTAACAGAAATAAAGGCTAATTTATTTTTATTTTTATATTCCTTAGTGGTTGTTTGCTTCATGTGACACCTGACAATATATCGTTAAATAATATTATAGCTTTGAGTTTACTGTACAGTTTTTCCGGTAGTCGTGTAAATATTAAGTAGATATATTAAACGAATAAAATTTGTATTGAAATAAGCTATATTGCTTATGAAAAGCAGGCAAACTGATCTAATCACTGCTCTAGATTAATTATTCATTCAGTCATCAAAATCATGACTACCCTGGTATTAAACTTACAATCGAATAAGATTAACGAACTGCCCTTATTGTAAGCTGTTGATATTAGATTCCAAAAGTACTTTAACTATGTTGTATTTTATCTTAATCTTTATTTCCCCTAAACTAATAATAAAAGATAGCGGCAAAAGATAAGCAGTCAAAAGTATCTAACTATTATTATCTATCATAATTCGCATTTCTACAATCAAATAAGATATCATTTTCACCGAATTTCCTAAACGGGCCAGCCAAGAACTATATCTACAAGTTGCTAAGTTACACTTTAGTGCTCCCATACATAACTGCGAATTCGCATCGCATCGCAAATATCTGCGAGCTCACACGAATGCATTGCAAGGACTTAAGATCTGATTCGCATCGCGCATTCCTGCGATGTTACGTCACAATCGGTGACTCCATTTAAGTCCGCTTGTACGATCGTTTTTGTAGACATGGTGATAATAAACTCAAAAGCTCTTCAAATTAAGACATGCTTATTCTTTAATAATAAAAAAATATGTATATCTTCTTCTCTTCTCAAAATCAGAGTAATAGTATTTTCGAATAAAATAGTTCCCATTGGCTTCCATAATCGAAATAAATGGATGAACCTAAAATCTTCTTTTTTCTTTTCGGACGGGGTATAAATAGAAAAATCCTATGGAAACGATGTAACGGAAATGCGTCACGAGCCTCACACAATCCTATAATCAAATAATATATGTATACGTATATGTGTGAGTGTGTGACACGATTCATCCCGACGAGCATGAAAGTTGGAGGGTAATTCGGCGAAGGCTGAAACACTACGAACACAATATAAATATGCATATGAGTGATGCGTGCGCTGTTCATTCCTCTATAGCTTATGCACCGCCTAATGTTAGATTATTTGAGGAAAGAAGTTTCAATTCAGATATGTGGTCCGTGCACACAAATGTTTTTATAGCAGTGCAGCTATCTTTTTGCTATCCATGTCACTATTACTAAAGCACTTTCAATACGGCTGACTACCGTTGAAAGTATGGTCACCTTAACCAAAGCTTTGCCGCACAAAATCACATCGCATCAATTCGCATCGCAAGTTCCTACGGTGCGACGTCGTATCACATCGCATCGCACTTTTGTGGTGGAGCCCTAAGGACAATCCAAATTAAAAGGGAGTAATTAATAATTTGGCGGTTAAGCTTTTGCTATTATGAGATAAGAATCGTCCAATTTATCTGGTACAGATTGTAAAAATAGTAAATTATATTGTTTAATGTTACCGCAACCATGTATCTTGAAGGCCAAGTTCCTTGGTGTCATTTTACTGCAAGTATATTGTCATATCTTATCTATCGTATGTTAGTATTGGTATCGCAAGGCGAGACACTTGAATTATTTCCAATGGCAATGTCAATGGAAATCGGATCAGCTTCTTTTTTAAATTATTTTTTTAGTCGTAGAAAGAATATTATAATAGCTAGTTATATCTATCCCCTAGAGATAGAATGAACATCACAAAGGCAGGCGTAGTGGGGGTTTTCTCCATATTGTCTATCTTCAACTCTTGACATGATAGCTGCTTCGGATTCTATGTTTTTATTTGCATAAGCTTCTTACAGCAACCATGCGTGGACTTGACCAAAGGCGTATTTGGCAAAGTATATAATTTGACGAATTACCAATTTGTCTTATTTCTTATTTGTAAATTTGACGATTTGACTAATATCAGACTTGACTTGACCAACGTGTAACACTGCTTACTTATATGGAAGGACTAGAGAGAACGAGAGAACCCATCACGTGGGCTCACTGCGCATTGGTGGTTGCAAATGCTGCAGAGTAAATAAAAATAAAATAAAATAAAGAAATTATTTAACTAATAAAGTTTTTTTTTATATTTTAGGATCTGTTGGAAGACCCGCTGTATATTGGTTTGAGGCAAAAGAGGACTCGAGGAAAGGAATATGACGACTTCATGGATGAGTTTATGGAAGCCTGTGTGATGAGATACGGCCAAAACACGCTGTTGCAAGTAAGTCTGAAACATTAAGACTCATTTAATACTTATCATATAGTCACCGATATTTTTCCAAATAATTTTACATATATAAGCGATAACAGCTTATTGTCCATTTTGTTCTTGTGACAGTATTCCGCCGATTCCTGTTTACTAGCATGTTATTTATCACTATTTCGCTATTGCCGTCTTCATCGTTTTTTAATTTTCAACATCAGCATTTTTTTCTTTGCATGATTAAATGATTACATTACCATTTTATGATTATGATCACTATAAATATCTTAATATATATAAATTACGCGTCACGTTGTTAGTCCGAGATGGACTTCCTAAACTGCTTAACCGATTTTAATAAAATTTGCACACCGTGTGCAGTTTGAAAAACCAACTTGAAAGATAGGATAGCTTACATCTCAATTTATAGTCGCATAATTATTTTATTGCAAATTATTTCTGGGCGGTATGAAGTTCGCCGAGTCAGCTAGTATGAAGTAAAATTTTCAAATTTATTGTAGATGCAAAATGTACTCTGGTAATTTATGAAACTGACATAACATAAATCGTTATAAATATTGTTTGTTGCGAAATTACTTTACGCTGCTCACCTTGAACCAAGCGTACCCTTGTTTGCAAACCCAATAAAATTACTTGCTTAATTAATTAGATTTTTGGGTAAACGTTTTTACTCATATCTTTAAATATTTCCGTCTCTTTCTTGGGATATATATACAGAGGTGGTCATCTAATTAAGAACGCTTCTAGCAAAGACTATATTACTTTGCTCTATTGTCAATCAATTCCGCAGTGTACGCGATATAAGGTTTTTATTTACTATTTTGTTTGCACGTTGGGTTACACTATCGAAGTTTTCATACGGAACCTTAACTTTTTTGAAATGAAAATACTAAGCCTATGGTCATAACTAAGTATAATGTAGGTTTCAAAATATGAAAGATTTTTTTCTAATCGGTCCAGAGTTTCGGAGTATAGTCAATACAAACAAACGAACAATCAAATCTTTCCTCTTTTTAATATTAGTATAGACCTAAGGTTTAGACAGAAGAGAATATAAAATCATTTTAATATATGTACTACTTTTGAATTTGCAGATAATATAATTTGCAACGCCTTGTAATTCTCTCGTATGAAAAAATCACATCATTTTTTCCGTTAAGCCTCTCAATTAATTTACAATAAAGTCTAATTTGTCAATTTCATTGCGATAGAAATAAAAAGCCCTCACGTTATTTTAATTCATTAAATTTAAGTGGGGTCCTTATTTTTTTGGTTTCATCTCAGGCGGGAGAGCGGGTGTGAAATTCTCATAAATACCCTACAGCCGGCTGCACGGTGGTCTCTAAAATCGAATCATGACGTTAAGTAGAAGAGACAAACATTTGTTTGTATTCGTATACGATCACTGGAAAAGAGTTACAATTTCTAATAATCTGCGCATAAAATCGTTGCAAGATAAAAAATTAAATACTTACCCATATCATGATAAAGTTCCTTTTACATCTGGGGCTTTGTGTAGTGATGACCGGTCGTTATCAATGTTACTTATCATCATATACAAGAGCACGCGACCAGCATCTACCAAGCTATCTTATCATAGTTTAGATCCAATTCTTTATCTATCGAAATCTAACAAGTCTTAAGTGCCTACCTGGTTAAAATATCTGTGATTATTTAACTGTGGTTTAGGTAATTTTATCTATTAATGTAACTGTACTTAGTACTTACTACACTAAACTGCGTAATCAATCTATAGTTGAGCAGGTTAGTACGTACGCACGCACGCTGCCTCGAGTTTACGTTAGTTTTAATATGATATGTGCCGACTGAGATAATAATGTAAACAAAACGTGTCTAAAAATAACATTTATCAATGTTACTATACAGGCATTTCGCAAGAGCGAAAGACTTCGTAAGCGGTCATCATAGCTTATAAACATTTAATACCGACACAAGGCCATCGCTCTGGCGATGTTTTTCCTTTTTCCTTTCACAATTTCTAAGACGTGTCCGACGTGGTACACGACTTTTCTTTGGTGACGTGACTTCACAGACCGGCGATCACGCAAATAATATGTCAACAATAGGTATACAACTTATGTCTACAAACGGTGTATCAATTATGGTAAACTAATAAATATATAGTCAGAATTTTTTAAAATCCTTTTTATTCTAATAATGTATGCACGATACCACAGGCAGGTGGTAACCAACACTGTATACACACAAGCAATGATAATGATATTTGTTATGTAACCAAGTCCTGCGTCAATGGGTGATGCCAACGCGTGTTACTCATATACAAAGAATACGATAACGGTCATGTGATTCGATATTTTTTTTAAGTTGCCGATTTTCCGATTGTTGTGATACTTCAGGGAATGTACGCTTCTGTTGATTATCTACGATATCGTTATCGTGATTATGATAATTGTTATAACTCTAACAATTATCATACTATTATATAGATAAACATTAGCATTAATATATTGATATTAAATAATAGTGACGTGTGTTGAGTTTGAACATAATTAAAAAATTAAATTTCGTTGTAATTAATTATACTACAAGGGTACACACACGATAATTTACAAAAGTACCTTTAAACAAGCTCTGCGACAGAAACGCAAATGATACACTTTTATATTTAAAGGGTTGGAAACAAGCATAATAGCCCACCTGAAGGAAAGTGGCCACCATAGCCTATAGAAGCTTGCGATACCAAAGCTGTCACTCGCGCCGTTGCCTACCCTGACCCCAATCCCCTACCCTGACCCCAAATTCCTACCCCGTGGAACATTACTCGCCAACAGAAATACAACACAACCAGAAGTTATTTTTATTTTACTGTGGTAAGGTACTTAAGGTTTTACTTTTCCAGACGGGCGCACCAATTTGAGCGAAGAATCCGCTATGAAATACATATAAACTTCTTTTAAATATGCTTTGTAAACATATAAACAACAGTAATGTGCCATGTTGCGATAAATTTTACCCAGCGAAAACAGAAAAAGAAGGATCAGAGATAGATAGATAGATAAATTCTTTATTGCACACACAGAAGAATACAAAAATAAGTAAACAATAACATAATGTGGGCAAAGGCGGCCTTATCGCTTTAAGCGATGTCTTCCAGACAACCTTTTTAATTTTAATTCTTCTTTCGAAACTGGTTTCGAAAAAGGAAAAATATTTCTGCTTTTGAAACCGGTTGCTAAATAAGAAATGTTTCTCTTTTCGAAACCGGTACAAAAATACGTTTGTTTTTGAAAAGAAAAATTCTGACAATAAAGGCGTAACGTTCCATAGGCAACTTAATAATTGAAAATTATAAAGGAGCGTACTCATACTACGCGAACCTATTTTTTTACCCCTCTATCCCCCGCCCTCCCCCCCTCAGTGACCTCCCGGAGTATATGCCAAGACCCCTACTCTCCCCCTCTAGCTTTCTCTTTCTATATTAATATTTCTAAAAATCATAAAATAGAAAAGCACTTTTGATCTTCGTCATTGATTGTTACGTCACGTGACGGAAAACGTGAACTGAAATGAACGTTTTCAAAATTTTTAAGGCCTATAAAAATAATGCAATTATTATTGGAAAGTACTCCCCAAGACTAAATGAAATAAGGTATATTATATTCCGCGCAGATTAAGAAAAGATCTGTTAATGGCGTCCGCTAGCATGCTATGTCGCTTACAATCTATCGCTGTCTATACTCACAAATTGAAGTACGCGCTGCAAACAAATATATAATAACAGTGTTAGCACACAATGATAATGTCATTGATGTTGATGATATTTTCCCGGAAATCATACATAACTAGCAAACCCCGCGAACTCCGTTTCGCCACCAGATGGCTTCGTTTTATGTAACATTTCGTTTGATGATTAAAAGAAGTTTTTTTTTAATTTTTCCTGAATTTTCTTTGCTATAAACCTCACGGAGCCCGAGACCTTTCCAACGAATGCAAAACCGTGGAAATCGGTTCGTGCGTTCTGGAGTTATAGCGTCAGGAAGGAAAACCCGACTTATTTTTATATAGTAGATAATGTAAAATTTATAATTTATTCCATATTGTTTCTTTCTTTGAACATTTTCTCCCCTTCTAAAGCAATTTAAACATAAATAATAAGGAGAAATGAAAAAATCCAGTGTTATATTTACCCTTGTTCATTATTTCTTTATTATTATTTTTTGACATTATTATTAGTATTATTAATTAATAATAATAAAAAATAATAATTAATAACAAATAAAAGCCAGTTGGAAAAATAAAAATGGATTTTCGAGAACTTGTTTTGCCAACGCACCTCAAGTACCCGCCGCCATTCTCAGATCTTTTCTTTATCTGCGCGAGTTATAATAAAAGTAAGGTGTCAAGGCTCCACGGGGTAGGGGATGGGATCAGTCTACGCAGCAGCCCATGTGAAATGATATTATAGTAGCGTAAGCGTTTATAGCCTATGGCAGTAACTTACCATTAGCCTGGCCATAAGCTTGTATGCCTCCCATTTATATGATATTTTGATTTATGAATTAAGCAGATTGATGCTTAAAATAAAAATATAGTAATATTGATTTATCGCTGAGTTTCGATGCAAGAATTATTAATGTTTTTTCGCAACTATTTTCGAAAGCAGAAATATTTTTCATTTTTTGAAACCAGTTTCGAAAGAAGAATTAATATTAATATTTCGAAACTGCTTTCTAAAAATGTTTTCGAAAACGGTCGCAGGCATATATTTGAACAAATTTCTGTTCCCAACGGTAATATAACCTTAAACTCTTCTTACCACCGAACAGTTCGAAGACTTCGCCTTACCGAATGCCGGACGACTGCTATCGAAGTATCGGAACAAGTACTGCACTTTCAACGACGACATCCAAGGCACCGCCAGCGTCGCCGTGGCCGGACTAATGGCCGCCGTGAGGGTGACCAAGAGAAAGCTCAGTGAGAATATTTATCTGTTCCTTGGTGCTGGCTCCGTGAGTATAGATATGGACGTGGTTCATAAAAGCCTTGGGTTAAACGTCTAATCCGCTTGGAAACTCAGTAGGAAAATACACATAATCACTTTAATAAAAAATGTCACAATAGTCACAACATTTATTGTGAAAAATTACTTATATATATAAAGAATAAAATGTATTTGTTGAAGTGGCGAGCGGTATAGACGTTTAATAGGGATAAAGCATGACGTAAAAAAACTTACACACTTTCTGAATATGTATTTTTCGTAGAAGAATTCTGCTACATAAAATATCTATTCAAAATGTCGTAGATGATTTTCTGACTAAAGTTAATTTAATTGAGGGGGTTAAAAAGGCGACCTTACGATTCTTCTGAATTCAATTTTACAAGTTCAATACCCTTTGTGTGGCAATTGTTATCGCTAAGCGCTAGATTACAACTGAGTGCTAATCATAAAGTACGCTTTCTATTTTGCCGTTGCAATGTGGCTGTGAAACTAAAGTCTGTGTTTGTTAAAATGTTGTATTCAGATGAATTGCAAAGTTGCCATTTTATTCCTGCTAATAAATATTTGGAAGGGATTTTCTAACAGGAATTAAATGTATTCTGGCAACTGATATGTTATTTTAGAAACAGTCGTTTTTCATATGAATGAGAGAAACTACATTTTAAAACGCATGATATTTGTGATGTGTTTTTATGATATTTGTTACAAGGGCAAAATTAATTTATGTTTTAATAATGGTATGGTGGAATAACAATCTCTATATATTTCGGATTTAACAAACAATGGAAATCGTGCAAACCGTGCAGTTGTTAAAGGTTTCAATCAATAATTGGGAAATATTCGAGTTTTATTTGGGTGTTAAGCTATTGCTCTAAAATGGTGAATTTCAGGAAGGCCTTCATTGCAGTGGGGTAACGTAGTGTTATGAATAAATATGGTTCTGTATTTGTGCCGTATTACATGGTTAGAAATATAAGAAACTAAACCCAAGGTTTTACAATTTTTTTTTTCAAAACATCTCTATTTATCGATACATCTAGTATCAAAAAGGTCAAAATCTTTATTGTTACTACTTCGTCGGTCGTAGCAGACATATGAACTCGGAAAGGGATCTTCACCGAATCACCAAATATAGTTGAGTTCGATACATCTTATCATTCAAATTTGTACTGATTTTGAGTTCTCGTTACGTCCGTTGTGGCGCTGCTGTTCAAGTTTCCATATAAAATTTGCCAATGACATTTCTGACTTGCAAACTATTCGAAATTGATATTGGTTCGTGCTAAGGGCTTTGAACGGCTTGAAATGATACGGAGACGAACCCTGTCCCAGTTAATATGTCTGCAACGACCATTAGATACTATAAAAAATACATTTTATATTTGTGATTACCTTATATCCTTGTTTAATTGAGGCATTGACTGTAGTCGCTATCATGAGAACATAGAAATTATTTCAACTAATATTCGGGTTTCATAATTGTAAAAAGAAATATCCTAATCCAGATTAGGTTCACGATTAAACGACACATAACAGCAGGATTTCGTAAATTCAAATAACATGCTTACTGTTTAATATACAACAATATTTTTACAATTCATTATACAGATATACCCTGTACTATAAAACCTCAAAATAAATCAAGCGCCTTGTGTACTTTATGACAAAACGTTTAGCGACAACGACTTTTACCACGAAGATATAATCTGACTAATTGAAATTGCTCGTTCGTCTCTTAATATTTTAAGTAGATTGAATTTAGTTGCTATGTAATTTACTTATAGCCACAGTCGTAGACGCAATTTTGTTTTAATAGTTTTTAAAGGAGGTCGCAGTCTGTTAAAAAAATTATTAAAGGAGTGAATTTTAATGTAGTGGTGTAGAACTAAATATTAAGATGTAATAAATAATATGATACAATAAATATATAGCTTACTTTATTTTAATAAAATAATTAATCATCATCATCATCATCATTAGCCTATTAATGTCCCCACTGCTGGGGCACAGGCCTTCCCTATGGATGGAATAGGGAGATTGGGCCATGACCCACCACGCGGGCCCAGTGCGGATTGGTGGGTGCTAACGACTGCAGATGCAGCCGGGACCAACGGCTTAACGTGCCTTCCGAAGCACGGAGGAGTTCGAGATAGTAATTTTTGGTCACCCATCCAACGACCGACCACTGCGAAAGTTGCTTAAGTTCAACGATCGCAGCCGAACGCGCGTAATAAATAATTAATCATGAACATTAATTAATTACTGCGATATTTGACTTTTTTCCGCACTTAAAAATATTTCTAAACGTGGATGATCTTTGCAAACACTCATGAGTAACTTATTTTCGAATGATAACAGACGATTTCTGTTGATTTTATTCATTAGGTTTAAACCATGACTAACTTAATCCACGTTTTGGAATAAGGCAGAATGTTTCCAATTTATGTATTTATATTTTAACATGTTTGACACAAACTTGTACCTTGGCCTCTGGCTAAAAACCAGCGTCATGGCATTCTGTGTCTTGGCATGGGCTGAGCCGGAGATTTTTGCCACGGCAACATCATTTTATTTTGTAATTAATGTTTTTTATTGTATGTGAATGTCCTATACAGTTGGTATAATAAATTTTCTTTCTTTCTTTCAACCTGTTTCGTACCACGCTCTTCGTTCTATGATGGGGAAATACAACGAACTTTATTAATTATTTCAGGCTGCTGGCGGCATTGCGGGTCTGACGGTTTCCGCGATGATGGCCGAAGGTTTATCGGAGCGACAGGCCAGGGATAGAGTATTCATGTTCGATATTAACGGATTACTGTCGACCCGTCGGGAAGGCGGCGTGCCGGATTATGCCACGCAATTTGGGAAGGATATCGAGCCAGAATCGAACTTTGAGGCGTGCATTGCTAAAATAAAACCGAGCTGTTTGATTGGTGAGTGCCTTTACACTTATCGCTAGAGTTAAATGAATTTTAATAGAAAAAAAAACCGCAGTCTTTCTTCGTAATCCGGATTTTTCTTGTAAATTTTTTCTTAAGATTTATAAATCTAGCAATTGAATGTTTAAAAATATAATCCTTAAAAAATGGTGTAAATGCTAAATATGGTGCGATATTATTCTATAAGGTATATATAGTTCCTAACATGATATCGATTATTAAAATGAAACTCTTATTGCATCGCCACAAAGTTTTTTGTTCATCTTTAGCATGTCGCATTACATTTTCAAAGTTGACGACCTCCGTGTCCGAATGGTTTGTACACTGGGTTTCATGGTGTCGCCGACTCGAGGGGTCCCGGGTTCGAATCCTGGTGGGGGTAGATGTTTTTGTGATGAATACGAGCATTTGTACTCCAGTCATGCGGCCCGGGTTCGAGTTCCAGTCGTGCAAAGTGCTTTTTCTATTAAAGATTTTAAAACTTTCACTTGCATCGTGGTTTCATAAAACCATACCATTTTTTTGTTGTTGAAAAATTTCGATGCTTTAAAATACTCTGAATTCTATAGGATTAAAATTATTTTGTTATCGTGTTAATTTATATTTTTTTAGGTTGTTCGACTGTTGGCGGTGCTTTCACTCCTAATGTGTTGCAGCAGATGGCTAAGAACACGGAAAGACCTATTATTTTCGCCCTCTCCAACCCCACCAGTAAAGCTGAGTGTACGGCGCAAGCAGCTTATGACTATACTGAAGTAAGTTAACTTATGTTATCCAACGATATTAAAAACCCTAGATACACCAAGTGAGCTCGAAATGTGTCCCAATCAAGTAGTGTTGAACACCACTCAAGCACTTCTTGCTTCACTTGCATTTCGAACTGTCATAACTCTTTTACACGTGCGTTTAAATAAATACCTTATATCTATGCATTAAAAGTGATCTTGAATGTTTTAATAATGCCTTATATTGTTTTTGACTACGCAATCATCTTACCGAGGTTCATGGATCGTCCAATGTACCTTTTGGACAGGATTCGGCCACGATTTTGTTTGTGTTGTTGTATCTAGGGTATTTAATATTGTTGTATATTATCGTATCCATACTAATATTATAAATGCAAAAGTGTGTCTGTCCGTCTGTATCGATTTAGATGAAATTTGGAATACAGATAGTTTGAGTCTCGGCAAAGGATATAGAATAGTTTTTATCTCAAAAATCGTCTTTTATGAGGTGAAATGTGGGGTGGAAGTTTGTATGGGAAACCAATATTTCCACACAAACGAAGTCGCGTGCGCCATTTAAATTTTGTACAGTATCCTCTGTGTAGGAGATTTTATTCATTCGCCTGCTCTTTGGGCCTGTTAGCGCCCAAAGCGCTAACCGCCTGCGCCATCGAGATCGATGTTAGTGATAGTCATTCTCTGACAGACGCGGTAACTAAATTATTATTTAGTCAATAATAGTTACTGCTTACTCTCGCTAACTGCGAAAGATGGAATTACTTTCACTCTCCCTCTAACATGAAAGCAGTCAAGTCACAGTGTACAATCATGAATACTCGTTAATTTTTCATTAATTAATTAATTAATTAATTTATGGACCATCAACACAACTATTTTAATACAAACAGACTAACACATAAGCTTAATTGTTAGGATATAATGTAACTGAAAAAAGATGTTAAAAAAAAGAGACTGTTAAAGATGGCCTCATCATGCGCTAAACAGTTAACAGATATTTTTTTTACAATGTCTATGTACGAAATTTACTAGACAAAACAAATATTTTCCCAATCACAGAATAATCCTCTGAATCCACTGAATATATTGACACCATGTAGACATATAAAAAAAAAGTGTAAGACAATCTTGGCGTCCCCAACTGGATATTCCTGTCAATGGGGATTTCATAATATTGCGACACTATATTTGAAACTGATACTCTAGTACAACAAACGTCTACAGGTATCCGCTTACGTAGTACTTTCGGCAATTTCATTTGGTTTTCTATCTCATTTTATCTTTATTAATTTATTAAATCAATAGCTTAGCCTTCTGCTGCCTGGTCCGCATGGATTTTTTCTAGTAAAATTGTCTTTAGATTTAAATTAAAACATTTCAATGTTCCATCACAGGGTCGTTGCATATTCGCGTCGGGCTCCCCGTTCCCGCCCGTGAATTACAATGGCAAAGAATACCTGCCGGGCCAAGGCAACAACGCTTACATATTCCCCGGCATAGCGCTCGGCGTCATCGCCACCGCCACCCATCATATACCGGAGACTATGTTCCTCACTGCCGCTAAGGTACGTATAATGAGTTTAAACTAAGAATAGGACCGACTGGACGCCATATTGTGACATCATAATTGTTAATTCAAACCAAATAGGTAGTGTTAGCAAAAAAAGTTTTTATTTAATAAAACAATTTTTTTACTAAGATTAAGTAAGAAACGACATCCGATTTTTAATAAAATTTACTAAGATTGAGAAAAAAAAGCAACCGATATTTAATAATATTTTTTTGTTACTGTGCGAGAAAAAACATTAATCAGAATCTAGCTCTTCAGTCCCGCTCATCTCTGCATTACCGCCTGAGTAGTTATGAATAATCATGCACTATTACTAGGTCACATAATTTGCACAAGGTGGCTGGCAGGAGCTGGATGCGAGTAGCCCAAGATCGATCTGAGTGGCGTGCATTTGGAGAGACCTATGTCCAGCAGTGGACTAAGATGGGCTGTTGATGATGATGATACAAACATGCATCCTTTATGTAAACGAAAATTTAAATCGAGTTTCTGAACACAACTTAAAGTCACATTTGGTTGTCGATTTAGGTTATTAACCATTCATAGCCAAAGTTCGATAAATGAAAAAAAAACAACCAATTATTAATTAACAATATTTGTTTACAAATGTTTGGTTTTTATTCTAGAATTAGCTGAGTGCTAAAAAAACGTTCCAAAATGTTTTTGAATACCGTACTTTTCAAGCGGTCATTGGCCATCGGCTTTCTTATTCTTATTTGAATCGTACTATAGAAGGCACGGCTGGTAAGGGGATTGGGTCATGGTAGGCAACGGTGCGAGTGATATTTTTTGTATCACAAGTGTGGTGGCCGCTTACCATCAGGCGGGCCATAGGCTTGGGTGGCAAACAATAAAAAATAAATATATATAGAAATTCTACTACTTTCTTCTTAAATTATAGGCAGCGCGCAAATTTCTTACGCAAAACCACAGACAAATATACTTACCCAGTAGATGTTTTTGTATGTAAAATTGTTACTGCGCAGGCTTCCTTGTCTATGGTCGATGCTGAAAAAGTTTGCCGGAGTGTATATCTTCATCAACCAGATCCTTATAGCTAAATCTATAAAAAAATTACCCGTTAATCATGCCAGCTGAAGGATATCCTGATACCGTAGTATTAAGAGCTTATAGCGCGATTCAAGAACAGCGGTTGAATCGGGATTAAATCAAACTGAGCTCATGAATATGTTTAGCATTTGTTCTCGTATAAAAAATGTCTGGTGTTAAGTGTACTATGACCTTTGAATGGGCCTATTCGATTACTCAATAGATAGTAATATTAACTGTCACACACAGATGTATTTAAATATAGTCTTGTAATTAAATAAAATATTTATTACTCTCTTATTGTCATTTAAATACGATGATTTTAAAACCATCACTTACGGAAAAAAAGGAGTTGTATATCTTGAAATTTGTTGCAGACTCTTGCGGATTACGTTAGCGAGGAAGATTTAGCTATGGGTCGTATTTACCCCTCCCTGGCAGATGTTAGAGATGTCTCCCTCGCTATTGCTGTCAATGTCGCCAAGTTGGCATACGACGAAGGTATGTACCACTTTACTATAATCTTTGATAAAAAATATCCGTTTTATTCGCAATTGCTTACTTATATGATTTGCCGAGTAAAGCTAAAAGTTTAAAAAAATTAAACTACTCTCAGTAAAAATTTTGGTAGTGCATGTGCATTTATTACCAGTGAAAAATGGGAAAACAAAGCAACTTGCCAAATTTATTGTTTGTAAGCTCCTACCTATACAACGCTACGCAAATCTTCGATACCCGAAGACTTTGAACTCTAAGCGACTATCGCAGTACAAAACAAAATGTCGGCAACGCGTGCTTGTGTACGAACCTCTATGAATATGTATTGCGGTAGTCATTTACGACCAGTTTCAATTATGAAACTCCAGTAAAAGGTAGGCCTATTCGAGCTTTGTTGCTAAGATATTTTTATTATTAAGACTATAATAACAACCGTTGTTAAGAAACTGGACCAGATTATCCTTACCTTTTATTAGAGGTTGATTATTGAAACTGGCTATTAGAGACCAAAGTAGTCGGGTACCGAGAATTTGCGTAGCGTTGTGTACGAAGAGGCTTACTTCCTACTTCTGTATGAGGCTTATAACAGACAAAAGGCGAGCGACTCCGTCCTCAGGACAAGGAAAGGATAAAAAAAGAACAAGAACTTTAGCATAGAGGTAATGCGATGATGTTTGAGCGTTTACTATACGACAAAGGGTAGCAGAGAATGCTCTGTACTCTATATTCTACCCTGTTCAACCCTCACTCTCCAGAATACATACGGATCAAATTTCAATATCTTTGTGACTCATATGACCTTCCGGTAGCACTTTAATGGGATCTTGATTAGGTAACTTCCTTGTAGGGATGTGGTGTCTTGGCTAATGCAGGTCGATCGTACTCTTCTTGAAAGTGGGAACGATTCCACTTCGTTCAACTGATACTCTTGCACTATCTCATCTTCTCTTTCACTCTATCTATATGTCTGATTCCTTTGCCCTTCAATCTTCACGGCTCTGTAACAGCCTCCCTGATTCCGTAGAAGGTCATCCAATAGGTACATTTTAAAGAAGAAAGTTCATGAACATCTCCTAGAAAGCTAAGAACGTTTTATTCTGACGACGTAGCCTGTAAATGCTACGAAACGTCAATAAATAAATAAAGTTTCGTGCATTAACCCGTAAAAACTAGTTGTATGTTAATGAGTGATGTGCGTGAAAACCTAAGAAACAAATATGTGGTAATAAAGTTTAAATAAATAAATACACTTCCGCATAGCGTGTACGTATTACTCAACCAAAAAGTATTAGAGGCGTTTTGGCAGGTGGCATTTGACATTAGATTGCTTTTTGATTCGGTATTGTAAAAGTAACCAAGGCGTACAAAGGTCAAACATATCCAATTTGACGTTTCATAAGCACGCTGTTCTAAGACTCAGTCCTTGAAATGGTTTTTGACATTGTTGAACGGAGCTGTCTATTGACCGAACATGTCTGTAGATCGGAACACGCAGCGACATGCAATCGCCGCTGCGACGGACATTTGGCAAATATTGGCCAGCAAAATATTTTTTTCGACGATGGTGCAGGTGGTATGGCTTTTCGGCTTGTGATCGTGAAAGTTGCATCGCAATGGCCGGTCATTGGATGGGTGATCAAACTCTTATTAAGTATCTCGAGCTTTCGAACGCACGTTAAGCTGCTGATCCCGGCTGCAACTGCAGTCGTTAGCACCCACCACTCTGCACTTTGCCCGCGTGGTGAGTCACGGCCCAATCTCTTTATTCCATCCATAGATAAGGCATGTGCCCCAGCAGTGGGTACATTAATGGGCTGATGATGATGATAAAACAAATTTTCAATCAAGCGAGCGAGACAGGACGGCGTATATTTTTGCGTCCGCACGAGCGAATCGGCGATTCCCGAGTTGCTATGCAACCAACTGCTGACACTTTTCCTCCCTTTACCAAAGCTGAACTGAGTTGTGTTGTTGTCTTTATCTTGACAAAATGGTAAACAAAGAGTGGTTTTTTAAGAAAAGTGATGCTGGTGAATTTGTTTAACTACTTTCGCACTTTTTAAAAGCATCGAAGGCGTTGTTTTAGCTTTTAAACACATTATTTTCTTAATGTCATGTGTGAATGCACCTTTTTTTTAATTTGAATTCTTCTTTGCAATCATAATATGCACTAGCACACATTTTTTTTTATAGATAGGGCCGACAATGACTCCACCCCACTTTATGTTGAGTTGTTGAGAGTTGAATCATTCGTATAAAATCTTATTAAAAAAAACTTTTTGCTAAAACATTTTATATAAATTATTGCAAATTTTTTCTTCTATCTATCAGGTTTAAGTGGCAATTATCCGATTCCGAAAGATATAGAACAACACATTTTATCATGTTGTTACAATTTCCGTTATGAAAGCCAGATGCCTATTATGTTTCCATGGCCGAAGATTATCAAAGTGGACTATTCAAAATGTAATGGAGGGTTGCACCCTGCTTCTAATACATAAAAATGTAAAAATCCATTATAAGTTTGAACTTTTGGTTATGATTGTTATTACTGGATAATTGAATAATAACATTAAGAGACATTAATATGAAGAATATTATAATTATTTGAAGCAAACTATATAATATGAAGAAATATTTAAGTTTTGGACGAGAAAACCTTTTATTTAACCAAATCATGGCCGGTAAATGAATATTTTTTTTTTGTTGAATTCAAATAATTAGAAAAATCGAGCAGTAGTTTAAAATTAAGAAAATGTATGTATGGTTTACATAGTAGTAGTAGTACGTAGTTTCAGTTAGGTTACACAATATTTACAAAAACGTTGAAAGAAGCCATAAATGTAATTATAGTAACTTTATAGAAGATCCTTAATTCAAAATTTTCGATTTTTATCACATAAGGTAAAACTAGATTATGGTAGAATTCGTAATGATTTAACGAAAATTAGTTATTTATATGTTTATGTAGAAAGGTGTAGAAATACAAAAGTAACTAGAAATCTTTTCTTTATTTTATTTGTAATATTAAAGGAAGTCTGACTATTGGACATATTTTAGGCAACGCCTTTAGTACACCTACGTGGCCAACCGTGATCGTGATATCGTAGCGAAACTTCGGTAATCTGTCATCGCGTATGTTGCATCTCGCTCTATCTGTCTGTGATTTCTTATACTTGCTTTTCTAACAGATTACCGCCATTTTGCTACCTCGCTTCGCTGCGTCAGTGTCTAAAGGCGTAAATACATTTTCTGCGCGATCAGTATTAGTAGTTTAACCTACAATTAAAAGAATCATTTTTGCATGTTCATTCAGGTTTGGCTTCACTATACCCCGAGCCCAAGGATCTGGCTCACCACGTGAAGAGTTCAATGTACAACTTCCACTACGAGAGCGCCATGCCCGTTGTTTGGGACTGGAAGCAGCCTTCAGAAAAGGTCAATGTGAGGCCCCTCTAGCCAGTACCCAAGTACACCTAAACTCAGTATTAATAATAATTATTTTATTTCTAAGTTCGAATAACAGACCTTTTACTACTGACTGCGATAGTCCCGTATTCGATTTGTTAATGCACAGCTGACTAGAGAATGAACGTACTATGTAGGTGAAACACGAACTTACTCACCCTTATTAATAAAGAAAGAATAATGGCGCGATAAATTTGGGTCATTCATCAACAGCCTATCCTAGTCCACTGCTGGTCATAGGCCTCTCCAAATGCACGCCACTCAGATCGATTTTGGGCTATATTATATTTATTATATTATTATTCTAATGGAATTGGGAAAACGACTTAGTGTAAATGAACGGAGTCGAGTACGCCGCTTTTCAGCCCGTATTACACTGTAACTATTCCTTCGGGGTCCGAATTCGGGCTAACGACCTAGTGTAATTGAACCATAAGCTTGGGTTAGTTACTCCATCTTTTTCATGACAAATGGCTTTTGAGTGATATAAACAAAACACGCTATAACTAGTCTAAGCTTATTCCTCGTTTATCAATGAGGGGGACTGAGTTTAACAAGCGCGAGTAAATTAAAATACTTGCCCCAAAAACCTATTCCATGAGTATTAAAAGTATTTTAGCTTACAAACAATGCAACTGAAAAAGAATGTGTACGTGATGGAAAGAAAAGACATTGTTTGTCCGCCTTCTTCACTAGATGATGCTCTGAACTTATCTAAATCGCTTTATATAAAAATATATAACGAGCATCTAATATTCATTAATTTTGCAAAGTATTCTGTTCCCAGTAACTTCATTGAAGAATTCATTTTAATAGACTAATATTAGCAAAGTGCCCCATTTTATTGCATTTTAATAACCATTTGTAAATTATGCAAGATTTTTAAATAATACTTGTAAATAATATTAATTTTCTAGAAATATAATTATGAAGACATAATAATCAATAACGTTATATTAATTCAAATTATATGAAATATTTCACAACTTGTTTATTGCCTTTAAATTGTTCCTTAATATAATATCGTAGGCTAGTAGCAAAGGTGACTGTTATTGATCCAAATCATTTTTCTTTTGGATATTGAATGTCCAATATTTAGTTAGTTTTAGGTAGCTAATCACCACAATGGAATGTCCCCCCCCCCCCCCACCCCTTCTTATGAAATGTATTGATATAAAGTATTCATAGATTCCTCGTGACAGCTATTATTATGATGTATTAAAAGTAAGTTAAATGTTCGTATTAAATTTTCAGTCCCATCACGTTATACATTTTCATCGTAGCTTTGTAGGAAAGGTTTTCGTTAAAATACCGCCACGTATATCTAATAAGTAATTATAGGTAGCTAGTGACTAAAATGGAATGTTGAATTTCCCCATTCTACTTACTGTAAAAATTTATTTAAATGATGTATTCACATGTACTCGAGACAGCTATTGTGTATAATAAGTATTAAAAATAGTTAAATGGTAATAGTAAATGTTCATCGCAATCACGCATAGAGTAACACGGACGCATCCTGGAGATTGGCCAAATGCAGTTTTCCCCTTTGTCAAAGTATTTTCCTAATGAAGGAAATATTTCGTGCCCATTATATAATATATTAATTTAAAAGCTTATTAGATCATTATTACTGTTGATTTTGAGTTGATTTTCTGACCTAGTAATGATCCTCATAATAATCAACGACACACGTCGTAAATTCTAATAAAAATGAGTGATGTTAGCAGTTATTCGAAGCAATGTGTTCATTTGTAGCTTTTTTATCAGTAAACAATAAAACAATGCTCCCATTTAAAGAAAACTTATTTAGTATGCCATATCCTGCCGTAACCAGTTCTCAAAAAATTATGGTTTGCACAGTCCACGGTACGAGCTTACCTGCACGTGTCGCCATTATACGGTGTTCCGTCTTGTTGTACAGTCACGTCTACACAGTATTGGACTGCGCAGACAAGACGGAGAGTGTAGCCGGGCCACATGTCTCATGCAAACGCAATAATATATTATATAAAAGGAGGTGTGCAAGCAGCGTTGCCAGACGTCACGATTTTGGCGGGACGTCCCGATTTTTAAATCAAAATTTAATGTCCCGCGCGGGACAGGCTCAATCCCGCTTTTTGGGAATAACTCGACCGTGCGTGCAGTGTACTGAGAAAGCGCGGGCGGGTGGCACAGACAAGTGTAGACGCCGCCTGCCCGGCGCGTAATGAAGATAAATGTTCAATAACTTTTGATTATATACGTTTTTTTACTATGCCCCGCATTCGACGAAAGAATCCCACTTTTTTCACTCAAAAAGCTCCTAAATCCCGACTTGGCAAAAAAAAACTGGCAACGCCAGTGCAAGATAAATTGGGCGGTGTATAATGTAGATGTTTGTGTTAGTGTTGTAATGACAGTTTTGTATTTTTAGATGGTATGTATGCAGAACAGCGCTTATGTGCTTGTCTAGAACGATTTGATACTTCCTTCCAGGTTGCGTCCGTATTGCATTATGTCATAACCTTATACATTTTATGAATCAAAAAAGTGATGCGATATAAATAAGGAATATATATATTTGGACGTATTTATGGCAATAATTCATAATGCATGTTAGCGTTTTAAATTGTAGTACATTATCGTGCAAATAGTGAGTAGTGAAGCAATTTAATAGTATACTGATGTGAGTAATGTTAAATTATTTTGTTTTCCAAACCTCAATAATTAAAAATACGGTGGCCTTTGTGATGCGTTCATTTATCTCCTCACTCGATGTTAAATGCACACAATTGTCTTAAATGTTCGTATTCGTAATAACTTTGTGTAACGGTGTGTGATATTGATTATTATTCAACGTAGTATTTTTATTTGCATGTGTTTATAATAGTTATGCACAATAGACCCACATTCATGAATTTGTACGATAAGGAAACTATTTATAAAGAAAACGGTGAAGGCGGTGGAAACGGTCAGTCAACCATTTGACGGTCAAATTTATGTATTGCAGCGTACCAGCAAGTTTTCTAACCGTCATATACGAATTTTAAAATGTTAAAGTACCTACTTCTATTTGTGTTTAAAATACTAATTTATTTTTAAAAGTAATATCTTAAAAGTTGCCAGTACGTTTTACGGATCAAGTTAGCATAGCTGCATCCAACAGGGCTATTTAGCAGAAGTTCTGAAGATGCTTTCGATTGATTATAAGATATTTTAGTTAACTTTTTGAGTTTGATAAAAGTAAATGCTGTCATTTTCTTGGATAACGCAATAGAATAAGACAACACGCCCCTTGGACAAGCATTAATTTTAATTTAATCGTTTGAGTACATCCGATAATCATGCCCTTTTAAAATTATTTTATCTGTTGCGACATTATGGTTGGCATGATTTATGTATTGGTATTATTATAATTTAGCAAGTTCTTTGTTTTGACGACCGTGTTATTTTATGTACGCACGTAAAAGTATCCTTAAGTAATCAACGGAACTCTAGTCACTGCAGCATTAAATTAAATCATTGTAGTATTATATGCAACCATCTTCTTATGCATTCTTTATTATACATACATTTATAGACCAAATAAGGTGAAAAGGTAATGAAAGACATTTAGATTATAAAGAAAATATGATAAATTGAAATCGTTGTGCCACTTTTACTACAGATTAAATGGCTATCTTTTAATAGTATTAAAATATTTGCAATTTGGCTCGGTTTTGATTACAATCAATATTTTTAGTACAGTAGCTTGTCATTTAATTCAAAATCTAGTCGGTATTCTTGAGAATTTTTTTCTATATGTATTCACATTATACAGTCACGAGAAATCTGAAATAAAACTAAGACTAGATTGATGTGGTTGTGTTTATAGAAAATATTTGAATATATAAAATTTATATTCATAACAATAATTGTTTTTGGCAGCTTGTAAGGTAAAAAAATTAAAAAACTGTGTAAATTATTTATATAGTTAGTTATTTCAAAAAAAGAACGAAAAAGGCTGGAGAAGGCCGGTTGATGGTAGCCGATTTTAGCTTCTCAGCTTCCATTTAAAGTGAGAGTTGTAACGGGCGCCGGGAAGCTGGTGATATCTCCAGGTGTCCGGAATAACTTACGGGAACATCGGCCTTTAATCTCAAGTCCAGTTTTGACTAGGGTTGAATGATAAAGGTGTTTTCCTCTTCAATTATTTATTGTGAAAGTGTACATACCAGATAGGATTCCAGGCGTCAAAGTACATTAAGTATCAGATTTACTTAGACTATTATGGCTGGTCCATGGTCAAGGATATCAAAATGATATTTATAAAGATATCATTAAAATTAAAGATGATAAAGACAAGATAAAGAGTATAAAGATCACATAAAGAGCTGAAACAAAAGAGACATTTGTGAGACCAGGCAACATGCCTATATTATTTATCTATGTATGTGACGGCGTAGATACGACGTTACAAGCTTTATTTCGTCATTGAACAGCAACAATATAATTTGATCTCGGTAATGTTTAATTGAATAGCTGGCATTGATTGATGTTGGTGGTTTAAATATATTATAGAGGGGCTGGCAAACAAACATATGGCCTGCTGATAGTAAGCGGCCGTCGTAGCCTTAGATGGATTTAATTTAAGGCCATAGCCTATAGACACTTGCGCGTTAGGCCGTATACAGAAAGAAAGCTGGAAGCCGACCTGCGCTTGTCAGCGCTGGTCCTTACCGGTAACCGGTGCAAGCATTTCTATGGACCAGCACCGATAAGCACCAACAAGCACCGACACGCGCTGGTCAGCGCTGGCACCGCCCTTTGAAATTAATGAACAACTAGGCTTTAATCCGCTTCCTTCATGTAACTGTTACCAGTGCTGACAAGCGCTGGTCGGCTTCCAGCTTTCTTTCTGTGTACGGCCTTACCTACCGTGATCCCTTGTAATTTCCAAAAATATTGTTCATCAACAGAAACACCAACCACGAAAAGGGTGTGATACTTGGAACTTATTGGAAAGTATAACATATAATCGAGCACAATATGGTTTTGAAATACAATGTTCTGATTCAATAGAAACATGAATTGTGAAAGAATATGTCAATGGAAACTATGATAAATGTGTTTACATAGTGTCAAGAACACTATAAAGAGTGTCAGACGGCGTTTTTTTATTAGCCAGCATAATGACGTAATATCATTGACGGTACAATCTACAAATGATCAGGGCATGTCTTAAGTCGGCATAGTTCTTTTTCGTTTGCCACTAAAGTGACTAAAAAATGTTATGAATTCGAACATCGCTGTTGTGGAATGACATAACTTCTCGGTCGATATCTTTACCATATCGTTGCTGGCAATGATATTCCGTTATCAGAATGAAGAAGGCGTATTATTATTATAACGAACTAAAAATATTGTTGTAGTTTTAGTTGTCGGTATACATTTTAGTGAGACAAAATTATTTTCGCTGAGCGAATAAAAACTTGTTGGTTATTATGTGATTCAGTTGGTCTTTTTAATATTATTTTATTATGTGAAGTATCTGTTAGATACAAAGTGATTTATGTTGCTGTGACCATGTATTGTATTAATAAATAATATGGGTAAACTTAAACTGTACAAAATATACAATAATATTATGGTTTTTTTCAATTATTTTTAAGGACGATCTTGAATTCAGGGTCTAATTTATTTTTAGTTTTTTTCTTGTATGTCAATTAACATGTCCCCCTTCGCATATAACGCAGCTTATAGATATCAGAATATACGATTGTATGTTACCTTAGTTCAATTGTTACAAAATAGATGTTACTAATTATACATGTTCGAAACTTAGTATTGTTTTATTTGTCAATATTTCTCACGTCACTTTAAAAAGTTATCGGCCGCATTCATTGACGTATAATAACAAATACCGTGTGACAACGAAACGCACTGTTAAAGACTTTTATTAAAAATGCAAATGACACCAGATCCACACATAAAACATGATAAGATAAGATAAAAACTCTTTATTGCACAACACAGTAACAAAACAAGCATATACAAAACAAGTAGAAAAAATACAACATTGCACAAAGGGCGGTCTTATCGCTAATGAGCGATTTCTTCCAGACAACCCAATGAGTTGGAAACAAAATAAGCGAATAAGGGAGGTTGTGCGAAATACAAGTCAAAAGTTTTCCTGATAATTAGATAAGAAGAAGACGAAAGGAAAAAAAATGAAAAGAAAAGAAAAAAACAATACTATGAGAGAAGTTTATATAGGCAAACATTTATACTCAATTACTTCACAACGCTACCGAAACCAGTAGGTTCTAATGCAAGATTTATCAAAAATTAAGTTCCTCCGACAAAAAGTGCTCCTTAACTAGAGAGACTTAAAGCAGTCTAAAGTTTGGGCACCCCTTATCTTTTTGGGCAGGGAATTCCAGAGTTGGATAGCATGTACGGTAAAAGAATGACTATACGCTTTGGAAAAGTTAGGAGGAGTGAAAAGAAGAAGATTTTTAGATGAACGAAGTGGAAGATTATGGGAGGAAGAAAGGTAATGAAAACATTCTTTGAGGTAAACAGGAGTTTTTGGATTGAACAGTGCTGAGAAAAGTAGGGATAATACATGAAATACGGCGATGATGTATGGGAAGCCATTTTAATTTTTGCCTGTAGTAAGAAACATGGTCGTACTTATGCAAACCATATAAGAACTGGAAAATTTTTGCAGTCGTTCCAGTTTACTAAAAAGATCAAAGATAAGATAAGGATAACAAACATCTGCATAATCAAGAATTAGTAGAAGAAGGGAAGTTGCAAGAGAAATTTTGGTGGCAATAGGCAAAAAGTTACGTAAACGCCGCAAAGAGCCGGCCGCAGCGAAAGTTCGTCTACTAACCTCAGCAACCTGATGACACCAAGATAGGGTGCTATCAAATATTACCCCTAAATTTCGAACTGTGTCAAAAAATGGGATAACAGTTCCATTCAAAGTAACTGATGGCAGTTGCTTAAAGTCCGTCCGTGATATGAAGTAAGGGCTACCAATAATTATGCACTGCGTTTTTGTCGGATTATTTTTTAGTCCAAAAGAGTGGCTCCATTCTGTTATAAGTGCTAAGTCAGTATTTAAATTATTAAGTGCACTGTTCAAATCGAGCCTGTGTGTAAATCTGGAGATCGTGTGCATACAGATGACAGGTAGAAGTTAAGTTAAGAGTAATGGAATTGATGAAGATAGCAAAAAGCAAAGGAGATACACCGCCCTGAGGAATACCGGCTGTTAGTGTACACCATTGAGAGAAGGATTCATCAACAACTACACGCTGCCGGCGTCCATGTAGATAACTACGAAACCAGTCAATGGCCGCAGGAGATATGTTAAGGGAACACAGCAAACTCAACAGTATTTCAAAGTCAACATTATTGAAGGCATTACTAAAGTCTAGTAACGTTAAAGCTGTAAATTCATACTTTTCCATGCCAAAGCGAATATCGTCGGTGATTTTGACAAGTGCACTAGCTGTGCTATATCATGAGTGTCGAATATCAGGTAAGTGTCACTTGAAACTGGCAAAATTACGCAATTATTTTGGCGTTTTCTATTGTTTTGCTAATCAAACGCATTTTAATAGCTGCAACAAAATATCACATCTGTGTCCGTGTATGTCTAGTATCGTAATCAAACCTCTTCCTCACTAGTATACTACTGACATTGAACCTTACTGCCACGACATAACGTGTACGCCCAACAGCCTCCCTGCGTAGCCCGGGCTCCACGGCAGGGATCATCCGGGGTTATTTCGGGTGCGAGGCCTATTGCCCACCGCACCGCTCCTCGTCCGCTGCGGAAGGGCTGCCTAGCCTTTCACTTGCAGGCCCTTCCGCGCCCCTCTCATGTAGGACAGAACTACAAAAGAGGGCCGCCGTCACGGAATCCATCGGTGACCGGCATAGCTAACGCCATGCCGGGCAGGGAGGGATTCCCTTGGGAACCTGTCCTGCGGATGGCGGGAGCGGCCAGAGGATTATCCTCCCGTTCCCTCTCGGCCGCCTCCTTCTGCGAGATGACGTCCTCGCAAAAGGAGGACGTCTGTCTAAGCCGTAAAATGCTTGCCAAATGCGGCGAATGCCTGTCAGATGGTAATCCTAGTTACATACGACCTTATGTCAGGATGACGAAACACTTAGCCCCGTATTATAGAAAGATTCTTAGTAATTAATCTAGTCTTGAGCATAGTTACAAAGGGATGTCGCTATATATAGCACATAGCGACATTCCTTTCTAACTGTACTCGAGTAAACATCAACACTTAGTTGTCATTCTGTAATACGGGCAACGATATTAAAAACCCGGGGCTTAGACTCTTTTTCTATACAACAACGTATTTAGAGTGATTAAAAAACTGGGTCGTAACGAACATATTATGTAAGATATCAACATTTCAAATATACCATTGGATAGAGAAATTTTAATTGAGTGTAGAATTTAATGAATTAAAAAAAGTAGAATTTAATGAATTTTTATATTCATTAAATTCTACTTTTTTTAGAAACAGAATTTATGTATAAAAAATATGTGATTTTCCCATTATGTTCATTACGCCAGTTGAAATTACGGCCGAAGATATGTATACCACACTGCTGCTCGGACGTTTTTTGATGCACTTTTGTTAAGCGATTGGGAGACTACTTGTTTTTATATGTTAATGGCCAAATTGTAGAAAACAGACAAATTGAGAAATAGGTGCGATTGAAAAAATAAATAATAGGTAGGTAAGTAATACTGTTTTTCCGTAAATGGTAGAAGTCTTATTAAAGGACAGGGTGGTATAAGGCGCTTTGCAGACGAAGGGGCGGGGCGGGCTTTTTGTCCGCGAAGCAATAAAAACCGCGTCTGCCCGTCGATGTCTGCGGCTGCCCTCGCAGCGTACACAAAG